CTTTCTTTCTTTCTTTCTTTCTTTCTTTCTTTCTTTCTTTCTTTCTTCCTCCTCCTCCTCCTCCTCCTCCTCCTCCTCCTCCTCCTCCTTCTCCTCCTCCTCCTCCTTCTTTGCTTTTCAAGAGACTCTTTAAAATTTAAATCCAAAGAATGTAACACTCACAATGTGTCAAATTAAGTTCACCATTTTGAAGGTCTCTATCAGACATGCCCCAATCAGGTCCCTTAGGAAAGAAAGGTGGTCAACTCCATTTGGGTGAAGCAATAGGTTCTTTTATGAAAGGTTGCTGGCTGCAGTAAAGTCGTCTAGAACTAAATTTCCCATGTGAAAAGTTTCACATCTCTTCCCCTCATCTCAGCCCTTCCCCCATGATCACTTTTTTCTTCAGCCAATGAAGACCCATAAAAATGTTTTGAGAAATACTGAGATGTTTGAGACAGTCCACATACCATTTTCAGGCTGTGTGGCCTGAAAGTGCTGGCACAAACAGGTTCCATGCTTCCTGGTCTTCATCAAACTATAACTCCCCCCTCCCTATTTCCCATCACATTCCCCACAAGTTTACTGACCACATGCCCCTCCCATGCCCCCTCTCCCTGGCCTTGATGGCAGGATGCTAGTGAGGCATTAATCCAAAGATGGCAGACCTGACAATCTCTAATATCCATAAAGTGACTAAATTGAACATTTTTAAAAGTAATTAGAAAGTGAGTTTGATTGGCTTTATATTCTTATAAAAGCGTCTGCCACTTGTGAGAACAAAGATGCCATATCTCTCTCAGCTTCTGGTGCTCAAACACACAGGAGATTGCTATTTTATGGTCTTCTCAAACTTCAGAGCACTGAATCAGTTGTCCTGATCTATCCTTCTCTGGAGAAATTTGAAGAACCAATCTAGTGGATGGTTTTTGTTTTGTGCAACAATTGTCATCTTCCCTTGTTCAAGGAGATGTCTTCAGTTAACCATGACTAATGCCAGAAGCCATCAAAATAATGATAATAAGAGTAATTATAGGGTTTTTGTGGCATAAGCTTTAAAAATTGCTTGCAATGAGCTTAGTGGTTCCAACACTGAAATTGCTTAAAGTCTAAATTGAGATGTCATTAGAAGTAATTGTAAATAGTTCTACTGAGCAATCTTAAGTAAATAATGTTTGTCACTTAAAAGAGAAAATGCTTGTTATTAATCCTTTTTATTTACTAATTAATACAAAGTATAAATCCTAGCTTCCATGCAAATATACCATGTTACAAAATTTTTATTAATTTGACATCTGAGTTCTCCTATATAGTGTCAACTTGGCATGAGAAAAAGAATTCCTAGAAATAATGTTCTACAATGTGATATTATAGTAAAACTATTCAAAATCTTTTGCATTTTGATCCCAGAACAGTCAAACTGCTAAATTCATAACATATAAATCTTATAGTAGGCCCTAAGAAGAATTTTCACTAAGGGGAGTCATCCAAAATTGGGCAGTATCCAATAGACAAGTAAAATAATGCAAATGAAGATTTAACTTTTATTAATCGGGTGTATGCAAAATTGTGGATGAATTTTGTACTTTATAAATTGTAGGGTATATTCATAGTTTGGGTTATAGATTTAGGCAGAGGTTTGTCTTCCAAGGTTGCTACTTGGCTCGCAGATGTTTCATTACAAGACTAGGTAATATCTTCAGTGAAGTTTTTTTGGGTGAAGTGTCTTATTCGTTTATATAGGTCTTGGATGGTAGGTTGGTCTTATGACTAATTGAATCTCAGGACCAATTGAATCACAAGACTGATTGAATCACAAGACTGGTTGATTCACAAGGCTGGTTCTGGTGACTTCTTGATTGGTTGCTGTGAGGCACGAAATTCAGCTGGTGAGGGGGTGCTCAGTTCTGTCGTCGATTGGTGGTTTGTATTTTATACTTTTGTAGACGTACAATTTTTCAAAGTCACAATATTGAGAATTTCATTGTTGGCAATTACTAGACTGGAATGGAATCCTCAAGTATAAAGGGGCCACCTGTACTTGTTACATCCAGTTACTTGCACATCTTTCAACTAAGGTTTAGAGTTTTTCTTTCCTTCCACAGAAATAATATTTTAATATTATTTATTCTAGGAGTACAAATAAAGTGAAATTCTTTACCAAAAGCATATTTCTGACAATTGATTAAAATGAGTTTTCACCTATATTTTTCCACGGACAAGATAAGAACACCACTTTTTCATCCTTCCTATCCTGATGAAGATGTCTGCCATTTTACCATAGTAGATTCAATATAGTAATGAGGCTTCTGGCGTTTGAGTCACTTAGAAATTAGGTTTTGTATTCTGATCTATTTGTACTATGATCTGTTTGCATTGTGATTTATTGTGAGTCATAGAATTAGTTCACATTTGCTCTATTTGAAGTCTCAGATTTGGCGCAACCAATCACTTAATCTTAATGTCCTTTTTTTTTTTTCAGGCATATGACACTTTGACAAATAAATGCATCAACCTTAGTCCGCTTTTAAATTTTTGAGTTAAAAGAATACCAAAGTACAGCAAAAGTGAGGAGAAAGAAAATATTTAATGTATTTGTTTGCTTAGTAACACTTGTCTTCTTAAATGGCCCACAAACCACATAGTAGGTTTTTTTAAAGGAAAATATATTAATAAGTTTTAAAAAAGGAAAACAATGATATATATTAATAAATAGTACAAGAAAATACATTCCTATTCAAAATAATGAAAGTAATTAATGCCTAAAGTATCCCATTAATTAATTAATTAATTCCTACAACCTTTATATAGCCTATTTCTCTTGAATTGTAAAAATAGAAAAGGTGTGTCTTTGGTGCTAAAAAATAGCACTAGGTATTTCTATATGGCAAAATCCATGAATACATTTAGTAGGATAATGTAGGGATAAATCAAACACCAATAAAAGATAATATTTGTAGCTTGTGGTTATACGAGGGTTATATGAGGTTATATGATCCTTGGTTCTCTCTAAGTTTGGTTCTTTTCTTGCAAACATTTCATTACCCAACTCTGTAACATTATCAGTACTAGTGTTAGTCGAGCACTGATGATATTAATTATGTAATGAGACATATGCAAGAAAACAACCAAAATCAGAGACTACCAAAGACCCCATCAATCAGACAATATGATATATAAATCAGGAATATCCAGGAAGTATATCTGAGAAAACATATTCCATGAAATATTCTGACCATAACTCATCCAGCATGCTAAAGATTATGAAATGGTCTGTGAAAATGTGCTTGAGTGACAAGAGGAGGAGCAGCTTAAATAATGGTCAGATAAGATAAGATGACTTCAGCAACAGAGTGGTCAATGTCTGGAATACTCTACCTGACTCTGTGGTTTCTTCCCCAAACCCCAAAAACTTTAACCTTAAACTGTCTACTATTGACCCTTTCCTGAGAGGTCTCTAGGGGGCATGCATAAGTGCACCAACGTGCCTACCATCCCTGTCCTATTGTTTCTTTTATTTTTCTTATATGTATCCATGTATTCATAACTATATTTATACTTATACCCTATTATCTTGTAAGCAATTGACAAACCAAATAAAATAAATAAAATAAATAAAAATAAGAAGAATTTAGCCTGTAGAAGCAATGAGAGCATGGTAGAAATCTCAGAAGGAGTCCTTTCTAAGTTTCTAGACTAAAAGTGTAATGGAAAAGTATGTAATGGAAAAGTGGTAGGGAAAAGTATACTTTCACAGTCACTTAGCCTTATAACAAAGGTAGTGTCAGTACTCATGTTGATGTTTCTTGCCTAGACCAGGGATCTCCAACCTTGGCCACTTTAAGACTTGTGGACTTCAACTCCTAGTATTGTGGACCAACTGGTCCACAAGTCTTAAAGTGGCCAAGGTTGGAGACCCCTGGCCTAGACTACCTTTAAGGACTGACAAATTAGCACTAATTCATGGATCCAGAGAATCAACAGTACTTCCTGAAGCTAATTAGCCACTGCATTACACAAATGAATCTTTCTCCTTTGAACAAAGAGAAGTTTCCAGAACATCTTTAAAATCCCGGTTGAACAATACCGTGTTTCTCATATAATAAGGCCTGGTCTTATTTTTATTTTTTTTGAGCCCCGAAAAAACAGCTAGGACGTCTTTTCGGGGGTGAATTAATTTCTCCCCCGCCCCCGCGCACCCTCACCTAGGGTGCTCTATGGGCAGCCACACCTTGCCACCAGCCACTCCTAACAGCCAATCATGGCAGAGCATGGAGGGTTCCCTAGCCCTGCCAAGCATGTTTGTTGCAGACCCGGGTCAGTGGGTGGGCAGCGGCAGTGTAGATGTCTGCCAGCAGTGTTTCAGCCGCTTCTCAGGCCTCTGTAGCTTCTATGGTTCCTGCCAGTGCTGGCGCCTTTCTGGCCAGTGCCATCTCCAACAACAGCGTCTGAGTCTCTCCCACTTTTCCCCCATCCTCTCCCCTGAAACTACAGGAAAAAAACATTTTGAGGTACCTGGGAGCACCGCATGCTGCGTTTTGCTTTAATCCCGAGCAGCTGGGTGGGCATGAGAAGCCGAGCAAGTGTCTCTGCTGCTGCATGAGACGCTCACTCCAGGCTCGGGCTCTGCAAGTTTCCAAAAGTCCCGGTGCACAGCCTGTTCCTGCATTCCAAGTGCGCCCAGGCCGAGCTGCAGCTGTCCCTCTCTCACCAGCACTGTCTCCAACAACAGCGGCAGCAGCAGTGGGAACCGTGGAAGTGTTTCAGCCACTTCTCGGGTGGGGGAGCCGCCTCTGTAACTTCCACGGTTCCCGCCGCTGCTGCCACTATTGTTGGAGACGGCGCTGGCAAGAGAGGCACCAGCACCGGTGGGAACCATGGAAGCTACGGAGGCTCAAGAAGCAGCTGAAACACTTCTGGCAGCCATCCACGCCAACTCCGCCTGCCCGCTGACCCAGGTCTGCAGCAAAGGCGCTTGGTGGGGGTAGGGAGCCCTCCATGCTCTGCCAGGATCGGCCGTTAGGAGTGGCTGATGGTGAGGCATACCTGCCCGCGCTCCTAATGGCAAGTTCCCCTCCCTGCCTTCCCCCCCCCCAATTTCACATGTTTTAAAATAGGCCTAAATTTGGGGGGAGGGACTTAATTTCATTTTATGCCTAGAAAACATGCTGGGTCTTCCTACTGGGGGAGCGTATTGTTGGAGAAACATGGTACCAGATTCTACACAATTTTTATCAGATTTTTTTTTATGTCTAGTAGAATATATAAAACAAACAAAAGAACTCATAGAGTCATGTAGACCTTACCAGCAAAGACCAAGCAAAACTGAGATTACCACAAACTAGTTCTTGAGGACCTTCACTGATCCTGAGAAATCAGTCCTAGCTTTCACTTTTATGACTTTGTGAAATTTGAGCCATTATGAGATGGCTGTAATAGTAGCCCTAATCTGGCAATTTTACAAAAAGCAACCCTGTTGACTCATATCTTCTATATTAAGTTCCTTAACATCAGCATAAAATATCATGGTAATACCAATTCAATACAGCAGCAATAAATTCATTTTATGACCCTGTATTTTAGGGATCATGAATTTAATTGAAATAAATAGTCAGAGGACATGAGCAAAATAATTCTTCTTTAGTGGGCTGCTGACCATATTTCTGCCTACATTTTTACAAGTAATACTTCTATTTTTACTTTGGCATAGTCAGCTTTTAGTAAAAGCAAGAATCTATCCCTCAAGAGCCATATTTCCATATAACAATGAACACTCAATCATGCTACTTATTTTACCATACTGAATCAAATTTGACTCCTGTTTGCTGCTTTTTAAAATCTTTTTTGAACAAAATGGATTCATTTACAATATCATTCCATTGTCATGTGATGAAATACAATTACTCCTGTCTATATAAAAATATTTATGAACATGATAATACTTTAAAAACAAGGTTCACTTAAAGAAAAGGTGACATCCATAAGTCTTTTGTCCACTTCAGTGTAACCTTTTTCCAATATTAGCTACACAAAGCGGTAGCTAATATTTGGGGATTTGAGACAGAGAACATGGTCATCTTAATGTTTATTTAGTCTAAGTGTTCATCAATATGAATATTTCCAGCCTTGTCTCTCCCTTTCACCAAACCCAGACCTTTTCAAAAGTTATCCATAACAATGGCCTGATAACAGAAATGAATTAGATGTGGGTGAATCAAAACAAAACAGTTGGTTAGATAAGTTCAGGGGATCTTGCATTCTCTAAGAAAGATTGTATGTTGTTTGGAAGTACTTGTGGATATAATATAAAAGGACACAACGCAAAAACTTTATAATATAAAAGGACACAACGCAAAAACCTGAACATCCAATAGCTACTAACCACATCTCTACCAATCAACCACAATCCAATCCACAACCCAATCCACAAATAAACACAACCCAGACAAATATTGATATCCCAATTCTCATCAGAGAAGCCGTTGAGCGTGAACGGAAACGCCCAAACGCCATCTTATTTGGTCTAGAAGACATCAATGTCAATGATGACATCACAACTGTCCGAAACATCATCAGAAATTATCAAGCATCAACCATCTCCGCTGATGAAATACTTGACATTTCCCGCATTGACCGAGAGCTCAAAAATAGAGATGGCTCTGTGGCCCCACGCTTGTGCAGGGTCATTTGCAAAAATGAATCAAGCAAACGTAAATTCATTTATACTATAAACTCACTCGCCAAAACCAACACCATCCATAAGAACCTCCGTTGCCGCCCTGACCTAACCATACAGCAACGTGCCCGCTCCCGTGCACTCCGCATCGAACTCAAAAACCGTCTAGACAATGGAGAGAAGGACCTGTACATTGACTACCATGCTGACTGTATCAAAAGTAAACCACTCAACCCAATACTCAGCTTTTACCCTCAACCACAACCCTACCTCAACCCATCCACCATCACCCAAGACTAGGCACGCACGCCCCCAACTACCTCAATTCCAACTACTGCCGGCCTTAAATGCAAACTACTCAATGCAAGAAGCCTCGTGAATAAAATACCTGAATTTCTCTTCCTCCTAAATATGGCTAACTTCGACATTATATTTGTCTGTGAAACATGGCTCAATGCATCTCTCCCCGACTCCATTACCACAGTAAGAGACTATCATGTTTACAGATCAGATCGTGAAAATCGTCGAGGAGGTGGAGTTGCTATATTCTATAAAAAGTCCTTACATCTAAAAAATATCCAAGTTACCCAGGAGCTTGCTCTTCCTGAGACCATCATCTGTGAACTATCCTTAAATATCACAATTCGATTCTTACTATGTTACAGAGCACCTGATTATGACATCGAACATGTAAACAAGCTAAATACATTACTAACATGGGCTGCATCCTGCCCATACCCTTTTATCCTTCTTGGTGATTTCAATCTACCTCATATTAACTGGACCCTAAATGATTGTACAACTGAAATCATACACACAACCTTCTACAATGCTATTACAAATCTGGGACTGGAACAACTAGTAACCAACAACACTAGACTAAACAACTGCCTCGATCTCATCTTCTGCAACAGTTTGAACCTAATCTACGGAATACAATCCAAAGAACCCTTTTCCAGTAGTGACCACAATATGATCGACTTTTGTCTCAACATACATCCACACAAAAATCACCACAATGATGTAATCCCCTATTGTAACTTCAAAAAAGGCAACTATGATCTTATAGACAACGATCTCTCATCCCTTGATTGGCAATCTCTATTCACTGGATGCAATACCGTTGAAGACCATTATAACATATTTTTACTTGAAGTCAAAAGAGTCATCAAACTATATGTACCAACAACAACTCCCAAAACAAAACAAAAAAGCAGATTACCCATATCAATAAGGAAACTTCAATCCAAAAAGAGATCACTCTGGCGGAAAAACAAATCTGGTCACGTTGCCAATTTCAAAAACCGATACAAAAATCTATGCCACCAGATAAAGACCGAATGCACCAATTATCACATTAAACAAGAGGAAAACCTTCTAAGCACCAATTCCACCCGCGCTTTTTACAATTTTGTAAACAACAAACTAAAAGACTCAAGGTCCATCCCTCCCTTGATAGGACCTGATGGTAAAGACTGCAACGACGACACCATTAAAGCCAACATCTTTAACACATTCTTCGGCTCAGTATTTGTAAACAGCAATGGATCATGCCCAATATTTCCTAGCCGTACCACAGATAACAACAATGATCTAATACATATCGATTTCACAGAAGACAATGTTGAAAAAGCAATACGCAACCTAAAACCATCTCTATCTATTGGACCGGATGGAATATGTGCCTACTTCTTAAGAAAGCTATCCACTGCCATAGCCAAACCTCTAAGCATAATCTTTGAAAAATCTTTCAGAACCAGCTCCTTGCCTAACCTATGGTCACAAGCCACAGTCATCCCCATCTTCAAAAAGGGAGACCCAAGCCTAGTTGAAAACTACAGGCCAATCTCCTTATGCTGCGTCACCTGTAAAGTCATGGAATCAATTATTAACCAATCCATCATCCTTCACTTAGAGACAAATAACCTACTCTCCAATAAACAATTTGGTTTCAGGAAAAAACTATCCTGTAATCTGCAACTCTTACACTGCAAAAACATATGGACGACACAACTCGACCAGGGCAAAACAATAGACGCAATCTACATAGACTTCTGTAAAGCCTTTGATTCAGTGGTACACGACAAACTACTCCTAAAAATAAAATCCTATGGTATCTCTGGACAACTGAATAACTGGATAGAAGCATTCCTGTCAAACAGACAACAAATGGTCAAAATCGGGAGCGTCCTATCAAATCCAGTACCTGTCAATAGTGGTGTTCCCCAAGGCAGTGTTCTAGGACCAACTCTCTTCATACTCTACATAAACGACCTCTGTGATCATATTAAGAGCAATTGCGTTCTCTTCGCTGATGATGTAAAGCTGTTCAATACCACAGACAATACTGCTACCCTACAAAAAGATCTTGACTATGTATCCGAATGGTCAAACAAATGGCAACTTCAAATCTCAACAAATAAATGCTCTGTCTTACATATTGGCAAAAAAAATCAGAAAATAAAATACAAGCTGAATAGTCAAGATCTTGTTGATGACCCAAGCTCTGTAAAGGACCTTGGAATACTCACCTCTAATGATCTAAGTGCTAGAGCACACTGCAACTACATAGCCAAAAAGGCATTAAGAGTTGTTAACCTAATCCTACGTAGCTTTTTCTCTGGTAATATCACACTACTAACCAGAGCATACAAAACATTTGCTAGACCAATACTCGAATACAGTTCATCAGTCTGGAACCCACACTACGTATCTGATATTAGCACAATTGAGAAAGTCCAGAAATATTTCACAAGAAGAGTTCTCCACTCCTCTACTCGCTGTAGAATACCTTATGCCACCAGACTTGAAATTCTAGAACTAGAAAACCTTGAATTACGCCGTCTTCGGTCTGACTTAAGCATGGTATATAAAATCATACATTGCAATGTCCTACCTGTCAATGAATACTTCAGCTTCAACCATAACAACACAAGAGCACACAATAGATACAAACTCAAAGTTAACCGCACCAAACTTGATTGCAGGAAATACGACTTCAGCAATAGAGTGGTCAATGTCTGGAATACTCTACCCGACTCTGTAGTTTCTTCCCCAAACCCCAAAAACTTTAACCTTAGACTGTCTACTATTGACCTCACCCCTTTCCTAAGAGGTCTGTAAGGGGCGTGCATAAGCGCACCAACGTGCCTACCGTCCCTGTCCTATTGTTTCTTATTCTTCTTTTATTTTTCTTATATGTACCCATTTCATGTATTCACAACTATGTATACACTTATACATTATCTTGTAAACAATTGGCAAATCAAATAAATAAATAAATAAATAAATAAATAAATAAATAAATAAATAAATAAATAAAATAAATATCTCAACTGTGTGAAAAATTCTGATGCCACCCATCACTTTACTCCCAAACTTCGTGATACATATATTTCATTATTATCTTATTTATTCAAGACACTTAAATGCAATGACCACTGAAAACAAAATTCAATTGCAAGAAAATGAAATGCCCGAACAAAACAGTAACATTTAATGATTTAATTACAAGTGAATTTTAAGACGCAAAAAGAAATATAAAAAGGGCGTAAGAACAAACCGCAATGCAGGAACCAAGAATTTCAAGACAAAAACTCTGAAACTAAATTAAGATTCGAGGAAAATATATATTCATGGACACTGAAAAAAGGGTTAAAAAAACACAAAGAAATTTTTTACAGAAGGAAAGCAACAAAAATCAGAGCAACAAATTTAATGAGTAGAGTGATAGAGGTTGCTGTGCAATGCACATGAAGATGAGCAATGCGTATTCACATATGTACGGTGTTCTGTACTGAAGCTAGCTGGAGGAACATTTTAAAACACAATTCAATCCACTAATAGTGAGCGATCTGATGTTTTTGTATGACAGATATACAGCGGTTCACTGTACAAAAAAAGTCTCAAAAGTGTTCCCAAAACTTCTTGCTCCATTGCCCCCATATCGCCCCCCCTTCTGTTCCTTCGCCCCCACATCACCCCTTTTCATTCCATCACCCCCCATAAAACTGAAATGGCCCCCTCGGAGGGTGATATCGCCCAGGTTAAGAACTACTGGTCTAGAATACTTAATGAAGCTATGGCTTAGTCTGTCTTCTTGTTGTAAGAATAAGGATATTTGATATGCTGGGTGGATAAAAGAATTTGAAGATGAATTTAAAATTGAATGGGAATTACTAATATTAGCAGAAATAGTTAAAATCAAGTAAAAAGGATTAAAAACTAAACAACTCTTGGAAATGATCAATTGCATGGAATGGCTCAGAATTTGAGTAGCTTACATCCAATTATACCTAAACAGCTTAATGAAGTATTGCATAAAGGAAGCATCAGTGACTGGTTAATAATTGGTAAATGTATATCTGATTAAAGAAGACCTAGCAGAACAAAACCCATTGCAAGTAGTTGATTTACAGCTGTTCATTTAGTGAATATTCAAAATTTCAAGGGCATGAAAAAAGTGACATGATTATTTTTCACTCTTACAACTGTTGCAGTATCCCATGGTCATGTGATCAAAATTCAGATGCTTGGCAGTGACTCATATTTATGATGGTTGCACTCTCCCAGGGCCATGTGATCCTTCTGACAAAGTCAGTGGGGAACCCAGATTCACTTAACGGCCACGTTACTAACTTAGGAATGTCAGTGATTCACTTTATACCTGTGGCCAGAAAGATCATAAAATGGGGCAAAATTCATTTAACTGTATTGCTTAGCAACAGAAAATGTGAGGCTCAGTTGCCATAAGTCAAGGACTATCTGTATATGTATAATTTTGCTGAACTACCGAGTACTATACTGCACCTTTGCAACGCTTACATGGATATCTTTTCAGTTTTAACTTGGGAATTAAAAAACTCATTGGAAATGCAAATGAATTCTTCTTTTGGAAAAGCATTATGTATATAGCATCAGTCCATGTACACTGTTCCCTTCTAGTTATGAATAGTCCTTTGATTATTATCATGTTCTAATCAAGTTTGACTACTTGATATAGTAAAATCTGGCATCAAATTATTTCTTCAGTACATTACTCTTAATGCAGGAGACTTATATATTCCACTAAGTTTATTTTGCAAGCTAACAAGCTTTCTTCAAAAGGTAGGATGTGTGTATGGGGGTGAGGGTGAGGGGGCAGAATGCTGTCTCTCAACTTAACTTACATAAAAAATAAAGGTTGTGAGGATAAAAGAAGGGACTACCCCGAATAAGTCAGTTTGAACTCCTTAGTGAGGTGACAGAGCGTAATTATAAGGAATTCATAAATTTCTTCTATTTGGCTTGTCATTACTAAACCTTTCTGCCAAAACCAGATCTTTCTGTCAGAAAAGAAAGACAAATGATAATTATGTAATCACATTGTCTTGAAATCTGACTTGTAGCGTATAATCAGGAAAGATTTGCTTCTTTAAATATCTATTAAAAGAGTCCTGGATGCTTTCTGTTCTGGCAAGGTGTCCATGATCTAAAAAACAGCTGCTTGTTTGTAGTGTGCTAAACTTGGAGACAGATACTTTTGATAATAATACTATATTATCATTCTAGAATGATTATTGGAGCAGGAAACCAAACTAAATATATTGGCTGACAAATGTTTTTAATTAGAACTAGATAACAAATGGAGAGAGAGAGAGAGAGACACAGACAGAAGGGAGGGAGGGAGGGAGAGAGAAGGAGGGAGGGAGAGAGAAGGAGGGAAAAGGGAAGAGAGAGGGAGGAAGGGAGGGAGAGGGAGAGGGAGAAAGAAAGAAAAAAATTCCAGGTCATTTCTGTTCTTTAGTGCTCCTAGAAGGTAAATAGTACTTATTCTCAAGATAGGAAACAAAAAATGACTTTTTAAGCTTTAATTTAGTGACAATTTAGCTATAATTAAAATGAAATGGTGAGTAAAAAACGTCATTTCTGGCTTTTGAATTGAAATTCAGTATAAGTGTAGTTTTTCAGTATAAGTGTAGTTTTCTATGCAATTAATTTATGCACCTTCCAACTCCTTAACAATAGCAGTTTCCTTTTCAATATACAGAAATATATGCTGTAAATCAGTGGTCCCCAACCTTGCCAGCTCTGTGGACTGGCAGTGGTGACAGTATCTGTTGTGAATCAATAAAAGTGAATAAATTAAATGCAAATGAGGGGTTGAAAACCTGCACACCTGATTGGTCCTTATACAACAACTTGGGATTGGGCCAGAACCGGTCCCTGATTGGTCACTTTTGGGACTGTCCTTATTGGTCAGTAGTTGGAACCTGTTGCACAATTTCATTGGTTAATAAGGCAGCAGCTAACCCTATAAAAGGGTTACTGCTACCCTTAGCATTGCTCTGTTCCATTCTGATTCCTGTTATTATTAAAGAGTTGAAGTCACTGGTCAGATGTCTGGTCTCCTTATTCTCCAAACTTAACAGTATCGACGGTGGTGGGAGAGGGGAGGGTTTTGTAGGCATGTGCCACTTGCACAAATGCAGCTTTGCACACCCAGGCTTGCCTGGCACTTGAGTGGCCTGGCTCCCAACCAGCCACGGCTCAGCACTGGCCTGTGGATCTGGAGTTGGGGACCCCTGTTCTAACCCTTATAGCTATGCTGATGATGACAGTGTGAGAGAAAGGCATACTCACTGAAGATCAGTTGACATTCTAGCCAAGGGGATATGCAACTTTAGCAGTTTATGTTTCAACACAGAGAGCTAGTTATCCTTAAGCCATAGAATAGCTTGAAATATATAATCATATCTCCTGAAGTAATAGAACATAATTGTCAACTTTTTTTTTACTGTGACCAAAATGATAGCCCATGTAGTAACGCTCCATTGCCATGCCTGATTAAGCCTTAGAGAATACTGAGTCCCTTGTGACTCAGTTTGTAGTTTGAATTATTCAGCTGCTACACCATCTTTGCTAAAGAGCTAGTAGTTCTTCATCCTGTACTTCTCTAAGGTATACTTTATTTCCACCTGCCAAGTTTCAATTTTGTGGATATCTAGATTCACTTATGGTTTGTTCATCAGTTTGTAGACAAAAAAATTGTAGCACAGATGGGCAGCAATAAACAAAACCTGCTAAGGGTCCATCATTCCCAGCTCAAAATTTCTTTGCTGATTGAAAATTGTGCATCTGGAAAGACTTTCTTTAAAAAGCATATAATAAGAAAAGTAGACATATAAATAAATAAAAAACAAGTTTTCAGACTTCCAAGATCTGAATGGAAGAAAATATGAAAATGTAGAAATGTGACCAAGATCAGACTGATTTGCACATCAATTGAGGGGTGAGACAAAGGATATTTAAAACCCACACATACATCTTTCTCCTTCCGTCTCCCTCTCGTTCCCTCCCTCCCTCCCTCTACTCCCCCCTCATATCTCCATCCAATCCAATCCAATCCAATCCAAATCCAATCCAATCCAATCCAATCCAATCCAATCCAATCTAATCTAATCTAATCTAATCTAATCTAATCTAAACTAATCTAATCTCCTGTCAAGGGATATAGTAAATCTTAACATGCAAACTTTTCCTGACATAATGTTATGTAAAAAAATTATATTTATTTTTATTAGTGTTCAATCAATTTGTCAACACATAATTTGTTTTTAAAATTGGATTCAGAGTAAATCTTAGTACCTTGACTTTGATTCAGTTTCAAGATTTGCAAAGTACATATATGGGGTCCTGTTCATTTTTGTCCAGTTACCTCTGCATGTATTTTCAACTTCCTTAATTCCTTGTTTCCATCAAGTTTCAAGAAGAAACATAAAATGGCTTATTTAAGACTGAAATTAGTGGGTAGCTAAGCAGACTTCAAAGGATGAAAACTTCTGGAACAAAAAAGAATCACCAGCAGTGATATTGTCTGCCACTTCCAACAATAGGATAAATTCAATACTACCAGTAGAACTTCAAAAGAAATTTTTAAGTAGACTGAGACTATAATAAAAGCAGAAAACTTTCTCCCTATGGGAAGAAAACTTCTGAAAAATTGCAAGGTAGATTTTATCACATGTCTGAAAAATAGTTGTTCATTTATTCTGCTCCTTCTTTCACATGTTGCTTTCTGACTCTCAGTTTTTACAATACAAAGAGGGACAATCAATTGGGGGACAAGCTTCATATTTGTCATGTTTACAACCTCTTCCTCTCTGTCATGGTTGTCATTGTAAGAATCTGCAAACTCTTTCTTCAATGCAATTCTCCCAGAGATTTGCCAATACTTGTCAATCTACTTTCTGTTCTATATGTCTTCTGTAGAAAGGATACTTATAACAAAAAAAAAACACAAACATATTTGATGTATTTTGTTGGCTGATTTATCTATTAAATTTGAAAGGCTGTTCTACTCCAAAACACCTCTGGACAGCATGCATGATTAAATTAAGATTACTAACCTCAATATTTTTTGTTGGTGGCACATCAGTGGGTAGAATAAATTAACACAAAAATGTGGGAACTTTCCATGGAACTATACTGTGTAAGTTTAGTTTGAAATTTTCTAGCAACAGCAGGTACTCAGGATGTTGGCTGAACCTAACTACAAAATATACAGTGGAAATCTTTATTGTTTTCCCATCCTTTTCTCAGTTCCAACTGTAATCTTAGACTTTTCTGATAGCTCCTGTATTATAGGAAGCAATGAAATTCAGAGTCAACAATAAACAATTGTGTGTCTTGAACTATAATGATGTGAAGCTCACAACTTGAGTTAGGCAATGCAGGAAAACCCAGTCAGTAGACATTAGATAAAGGTACTAAAAAGTATGGGAGATAAAATAAACCAGAGGCTATTGGAAAAGAACAGATAAAGTAGCAGAAGACAAGGAAAAAAACTGGGTATATTTCCCCTGTTTGAATCATAGAATTGTGCTTTACTTACATTGTACAAAACCCACTTTAAATTTTATGTAGATTGTCACTATCTGTGATGAGATCAGCACCACACTGTGGGTTAAAAAGGATTTAATTTTAATTTTGTAACGTTAAGTCTTTGTGAGATACAGG